GAATGTGGAGAGAGGAGAAAAGGTGTGGGATTCTAATTTTAATTTTTATTTTTGAATTTTATAAACTATAAATTTTTTGTAAAAGTAAATTATGATATGGATATTATTTATCTAGGTGGCTCTGATGTGTCATCCATATCAGCGAGAGTGAACAACACACGGCGCGGAGGTGTTTAAAATACTCATTTTGATCGAGTTCAGGTGTCTGGATGAAACTTTATGGAATACAGGGACCGGGATGTCAAACCGAAACAAGTACAGGTGTCTCCTAGGCTATTCTGCCTTAAAATTTTGTTAACTTAATAAATTAAACTATAAATTTTTGTAATTGGAGATAATAGTTATGTATGGGTTCCAGGCTTGATTTTTGAGGCCTGGTACCACCGAATAATCCTTAATTATTATGCGTCTCAATTTCAATATTTTTAGAATTTTTTTAGCTACTGAGACTCTACGCTAAAAAGCTCTACATTTTACTAAGCTAAAAGGCTCTATATTTTACTTCGCTAAAAGATACTATATTTTACTACGCTATAAGGCTCTACAATATGAACATAACATTAACAATACAAATAAACAAAATAAATAATATTATTTAACAATACAAATTATTTATCAAATTTTAATACAAATTATATAAGAATACAAATTATTTATCAATTTTAAGCATTTTTGGTCACAAACATAACATAAATTCGGGTATATAAATCAAATATAACACAAACAACCCGGTAGCATTTTTTGTCACAAACATAACATAAATTCGGGTATCAAATAAATCAATCCGGGTATATAAAAGATACAAAATTAAACACAAACATAACATAAATTCACATGGAAACATGCTAAACAATACTAATATGCATGACTATATGAGTTTCGGCATAAACTAAATTGAAATACCTCGATGTAAATTTTTTGAATATTGTTGAAATTGAATTTTTGCACTCGAAACACGGTATCCAAAGCTTTTTGTGTATGTGGGACCTACACGCCTTGCTCTTTATGGGACGGGTGGGCCCGAATTTTTTTTTTATAAATAAAACGGGGGGTGGGGACAGAAAGGAGCTCTTGAAGTTTGTTTTTTAATGGAGGGGGGCTGGAATGTCGGGGAAGATGGAAGAAGAAGAGCCTTATTTAATTAAGGCAATTCGCAGTATAGTACTGCGAATTGACTTTATTAAATAAGGCTGGGCCCAACTATTATATTAAACGCTGTGTTTTTGTTAAAAAAATAAAAAAAAACTACTTCGTAGTATGATACTGCGAATTGTTTTAACGGCAAAATTTCCGTTAACCCGATTCGCAGTATAGTACTGCGAAATACTCATTTTTGTGACTTTTTTTTTTAAAACATTAAAAACGTACTTTGTGTCTAAAAAACCATTAATTAAGTTTCGGACTCTAGGGCTGTACATATGACTTCACTCTCCACAATTTGATTGCCTGATGCCAGGGATGATACTGTCTTCTGGATTTATGCAAAAACATCAGCTTAGTATGTCTGCACATATATCCATGATCTTTTTTTCCCCTAAATAAATCATATTTGCAGATTACCAAACTCACGGGGAAACTCAGCAAATTGAAGCAAATCCCAATAAGCATGTTCTTATACTACTACTATTTCAGTCCTCCTTTATCCNTGGAGGGGGGCTGGAATGTCGGGGAAGATGGAAGAAGAAGAGCCTTATTTAATTAAGGCAATTCTCAGTATAGTATTGCGAATTGAGGCAATTCGCAGTATAGCACTACGAATTTCCTTTATTAAATAAGGCTGGGCCCAACTATTACATTAAACGCTGTGTTTTTTTAAAAAAAAAACTACTTCTCAGTATGATACTGCGAATTGTTTTAACGGCAAAATTTCCGTTAACCCGATTCGCAGTATAGTACTGCGAAATACTCATTTTTGTGACTTTTTTTTTTAAAACATTAAAAACGTACTTTGTATCTAAAAAACCATTAATTAAGTTTCGGACTCGTCCAAACGTCTAAATCCCGCTTATTTGTAATGTTACTAGTAACTAAGGCCCCGTTTGGCCATGAGTTTCCCAAAATAAATTTGGGATTTATTTTCAGAACTCATGTTTGGCCATAAATTTTGCTCATATTTTGGCCAAATTCCAAATCCCAAATTTCAAATCCCAAAATTAACTATTGAGCTGAATTTGGGCCAAAATCCCAAAACTTGGAAATTATATACATGTTTATCCAAAATAAAGTTGGAAAATATGTTTTGAAAACGTATGTCCAAACACATTTTCATCTTCAAACCAAACTTCACCCAAATCAGATTTTTCAAAATAAATTTGGGATCTATGGCCAAACGCTAGCTAAATTATTCTCTGTCCGTTTCATTTACGTGGCATAGTTTGGTTAGACATAATAAAAAGAAATACTTTTAAAATCTATGATTTTAATCATGATATAAACAAATGTGTGACTGTCTGACTTTTGATGTTTCTGATCTTAAACACGCATAATGTTTATGTTAGTATAAAAACTATCATCAAGAATAAAATTATAAGTTTAAATTAAATTATTTCAATCTTTAAAAAAATATTAATCTTATTTAACAGACTAATAAGAAAATAATTATAGAAAATGAAACTAAGTGGATATATATTTTCTTTATTAGTAATGGTATATCAAACGAACCCTATGTATTATTATGGGCTATATAACAATCTTTTTGTTGGTCATTCATTTATTATCACTCATCAAATAATAGTTTTTACTCCTCTATTTTAAAAAAGAATGACAAATTTTTTTTTGATCCGTTCTAAATTGATATGATTTCTTTTCAGATTAGAAAAATAATATAAACTATATATTTTATCCTTAATGATAAGCTTTTATATACAATAACACAAATGTCATGTTATACTTAAGATCAGAAATTTTATTTTTAAATTTTTTCGCTTAAATTCCAGCCCTAATAAAAGTCATATAATTAAAACGCGAGAGTATATTATGATTCTTGCATAATTATGCAAACAAAATGGTCATCGGCGTGATAACAATTTGAAGCCTTTGTATACCTTCAGCATGCGTATTGTAGTTTTTTTAAATTCTCATTCCATGTTTGCTATCCGCTTTAGGGTCTAGATAATATAAATTCAAAGTCCATGTCAGTACTTAAGATCCAATATTAAAGGAGAAAGATCATACCCAAAGCTTGAATATTAAAAACGGTAAGATTTTATTCGTCCAATCACAATCCTTGATAATTGTATTGACAGATATTCGGCCATTTTTCGACCAGGGGGTCAACCCCATCACGACCACTTTGTAGTAGATGGTCAACGCCGCTGACTCTTGACTTATGACAGCTGTCCTTAAAACAAACGAGGGGACGTCTCCACAACAAAAGGAGGGGCCCATTCGTGACCAGATGAAAAAGCCTGAGGCTATAAATACCAAGGGAGAGAACCTTCCAAGGGGGGCTTCTTCTTCTACACATCTCTGAATACTCCAAAAATAAAAAGATATACTCCATAAGTGGAGCCAGAAACAAGATCAATGTAAGATCCTGAACCTCTTCAAGGAGAGGCAGGTCAAGTTACCTTGATGAATAAAATCTTGTTTATATTGTTCCATAATTGATTATTTCAATGCCTCAAGTTGGTCTTCTAATTCAGTGATTAATTATGATTAGCTATGATTTACCCTTTGAATTATTTCGTTTGATTTGCTTGGAAAGTATTCGACAATTTTCAGTCAAACAATTTGGCGCCGTCTGTGGGGATTTCCTAGCGAAATCACATAGTTTCTCCCTGGAATCGAAGCCAAAGGAACGTAAAAAAAAAGAGAAGAAAGCAATCCAACTCAGGGAACCAGAGGAAGCACATCGAGCACGAAATACTCGAATGCATCAAAGGAAACTGAGATCCGAAAACAACCACACAAGAGGAAGAAGCCCCTCTCCCTCAGAACAAAAGTATAAGGCATTTCCTTCACCCCTAACGCGGTGTCAGGCCGGAAACCGGCACAGGGCTGTCTCAAGCCAGGAGCGAGACTCAGGCCAAGTGCCTTCGCCATCAAAATATATCAGGTTCGACCTCAGTCGAATCGGGACTCAGGCCACGTGCCTTCGCTATCAAAATATATCAGGTTCGACCTCAGTCGAACCGGGACTCAGGCCACGTGCCTTCGCCATCAAAATATATCAGGTTCGACCTCAGTCGAACCGGGACTCAGGCCACGCGCCTTCGCCATCAAAATATATCAGGTTCGACCTCAGTCGAAACGGGACTCAGACCACGTGCCTTCGCCATCAAAATATTCAGGTTCGACCTCAATCGAACCGGGACTCAGGCCAAGTGCCTTCGCCATCAAAATATATCAGGTTCGACCTCAGCCGAACCGGGACTCAGGCCAAGTGCCTTCGCCCGGGACTCAGGCCAAGTGCCTTCGCCATCAAAATATATCAGGTTCGACCTCAGCCGAACCGGGACTCAGGCCAAGTGCCTTCCCCATCAAAATATATCAGGTTCGACCTCAGTCGAATCGGGACTCAAGCCACGTGCCTTCGCCATCAAAATATATCAGGTTCGACCTCAGTCGAACNAACAACGCTAACCCCCACCCCCCCCCCCCCCCAAACAACTCCACATGTCCCACAAAGTGTTATCTGATTAAGTACATTTATATTAATCATTATAGTGCTTAACAGTCAGCATATGAAATACCTTTTCATTTTAAATTCTTGAAAAAAAGTGAAACTTAAAAATTCTGCATAGTGTATAGTCACCTTCCCTCTTAGACAATGCATGATTGAAGGAATTTTCTTTTCCATCACCTTTTGAATTTCTCTAGACTAGGATAATTCAGAATTTCCATGCTCTTTTACTTTTTTCTTTTTTATATATATTCTTTGCTTTACTTTACTGAACAAAAGTGGCATGCATGTTATTTGGCTCTCACTTTTAACCACTACCATCCTCTAGTTTTGTTATTTGAGGGCTCTTACACAAAGCGGTAAGTGAATGAGTGAATGCAACCAGTATATTACTGTGTTGTTGTAATATTCATACCAAAACAAAGTCTACTTTCAAATATCTTTTCTAAACAGCTTATTTGTTCATCAAAAATCTCATTTTGGCTTTTGGGTAGTTGTTTTCTTGGACTTGTAAAACCAGTAAAAGCAAGAAAAATGATTGCTGTTTTGGGATATTTGACCTTATTCAGCTTCTTGGCTTATGCTAATGCTATGCTTACTCCAGCTGGTGTCAATTATGAAGGTTAGTTCTTATGAAATATTGATTCTTTTCCTTTTGTGGGGTTTCTGAAAAAAACCTCAAGAATGTTTTTTTACCACTGATTTTGGCAGTGCAAGCTCTAATGGAGATAAAGAAGGCTTTAAATGATCCTCATAATGTTTTGAACTGGGATGAAAATGCTGTTGATCCCTGTAGCTGGAATATGGTGACTTGTTCAACTGATAAATTTGTCATTAGCCTGTAAGTAAATAACTTTCTGAGCATTTGTTTACACTTTTACAATTTTTAGACAATTTTCTAATAATAGTTGAATTGATGATTATGCAGGGCAAGTCCTAGCCAAAGTTTGTCTGGCAAAATATCACCATATATCCACAATTTGACTCACCTTGAGCTTGTGTGAGTAGTTATTACATAACAACAAAAGGAAATAAAATAATCAATGATTGATTTTTAAGTGTTACTAATATGAATTTCCTGTTTTACAGACTTCTGCAGAGTAATAATATATCAGGATCAATACCTTTGGAGCTTGGAATGCTTCCAAAACTTAAGACAATTGATCTTTCTGATAACAAGTTAACCGGCAAAATCCCTTCCTCTTTAGCTCAACTGAAAAGTCTTCAATACTTGTAAGCAAAGACAACTCTGAGATCTTGATATAAACAAGTTTTGAGTTAAAAGACTAATGATTATATTTTTAAATTTTGATTATAGGAGAATAAACAACAACAGTCTAACTGGAGCTGTTCCTGTGGACTTGGCCAATATGACTCAGCTGTCACTTATGTATTTCTCTAAAGCCTTTTTCTATGAGTTATTCATATTATCTATGATATTTCACTTGGGAAAATCAATATGGGGTTCTGTTTTTCATGTTCAGGGACTTGTCTTTCAACAATCTCAGTGGTCCTGTGCCAAGGCTTCTTGCTAAAACATTCAAGTAAGGCTCATAAAGAAGTCTCTGTATTCTACTTTCTCCCCATACCAGTAGTATTAGTAGGTAGCCTTGTATTCTATTAGTGTTACATGTCTATTACTACATGTCGATCACTCCGCTTGTTTCCTTATTATATTATCTTGTTGTTGTTACTGCTTTCTGTTCGTCTTTCCTTGAGCCGGGGGGTCTATCGGAAACAGCCTCTCTACCCTCAAGGTAGGGGTAAGGTCTGCGTACACACTACCCTCCCTAGACCCCACTTGCGGGATTTACTGGTTTTGTTGTTGTTGAAACCAGATATTTGTATTTATATGTCTTTTTGCTCTTATTGATACAGCATTTTAGGGAATCCCATGATATGTGCAACTGGTAAAGAGGCAGAATGCAATGGAACAGCACCCATGCCCCTCTCCTTCTCTTTAAACAATCCACAAGGTAAGAACTAGCCATTTATGATGTATATTGGCTTCACTTGTTTCCTCTGCTTATAAAAACATGTAAATCTGTATAGTCCATTCCCAGTTGATAAATTTTGTGCTGCTGTCTCAGATACTCAGCCTTCTGGAAAAACAAAGAGTCACAAGTTCGCCTTTGCCTTTGGGACAAGTCTAGGGTGCATCTGCCTACTAATAGTCGGATTTGGATTCTTTCTGTGGTGGAGACAAAAACACAATAAGCAGATTTTCTTTGACAGTGATGGTGAGTATTGTTTAACATGAACAATTTGAAGGTACTAAGCAATAAGCATGCAGTTTTAGCTCTGCGATCCTCTTACTTGTTCATAATTGCAGAACTACATCATGAAGAAGTGTGCTTAGGCAACTTAAGGAGGTTCCAATTTAAGGAACTTCAGGCTGCCACAAACAACTTCAGCAGCAAGAACATACTAGGGAAAGGTGGTTTTGGACATGTTTATAAAGGCCGTCTTCAAGATGGGAACATTGTAGCTGTGAAAAGGCTCAAAGATGGAAATGCAGCTGGAGGCGATCAGCAATTTCAGACTGAAGTCGCGTTGATCAGCCTAGCAGTGCATCGCAATCTTCTCCGGTTGTATGGATTTTGCATGACACCAACTGAAAGGCTGCTGGTCTATCCTTACATGTCTAATGGAAGTGTAGCTTCACGGCTCAAAGGTAAACATATCCAAAAACTGCTGCTCTTTAAATAGTCTTTTCATCCTGTTAAAGATTGTGCATTCAATAGACTTCTGTTTTTGAGCAAGTATTTTCCCAAAAGCTTCCTAGCAAATAATATTGTGAAAAAGTATAGGACAACCAACAACATAGAGAGGCGGAGCGTTTTTCCTTGGAGATGGAAACTTCGCCTGCTAGGTTTTACCAATTTGAAAATTCTTCCTCAGTTAGTTAAAAGAATGAAATTGGCTGATATTATGCAGTACTAGGTAGCATAGATATCATTACGGAAAAAGTTGATCGTTGCTGATAATTGATACAACAGAAATAGAGACTATTAATTCTTTTTGCAAATTGGAATCCTTAAAAGAAGTCTAGGCGATCATATGGATGCTTGTCCCTATTTTGACTATTGTATTAGGATTCGTAATAGATGTACTAGTAATTATTTAGTTAGAAAGAGAAATATCCCTCCCGGACCAGAATTTCTTGTTTCCGAGAACGAAGGATTTGAAGTTTATCGGGTTCTAAACTTGCCACTGAACCAATAATTCGTTCCAGTTACTGGGTTCACAACTAGATATTCATACATATTCAATGGATTTTCTAACACAAATATAGGTTCTAAGCAAAAGCTTCCAGGTTCGTAAGAACCGTAAGTAATACTCTAGTTTCGCTCCTGGTAATGAACCTTCAGAATCTACTAGTCTCTCTGACCCTACATTTATTTTTTTTCTTCTTATATACTTTGCTGATAACTGTCATTTGTTGCAGCCAAACCAACCTTGGATTGGAGTACAAGAAAAAGCATAGCTTTGGGAGCTGCAAGGGGTTTATTATATCTGCATGAGCAGTGTGATCCTAAGATCATTCACAGGGATGTGAAAGCTGCAAACATACTACTTGATGACTACTGTGAGGCTGTTGTGGGAGATTTCGGATTGGCAAAGCTTCTGGATCATCATGATTCACACGTCACAACTGCGGTTAGGGGAACCGTTGGGCATATAGCTCCCGAGTACCTTTCTACAGGACAGTCCTCTGATAAAACGGACGTTTTTGGTTTTGGTATTCTCTTGCTAGAATTGATCACTGGCCAAAGAGCTTTAGAATTTGGTAAAGCAGCAAACCAGAAAGGAGCCATGCTGGATTGGGTAAGGATGACTAATTCCCTATACATGATTCCACAACAGAAAAGCTTATAGGCAGTTCGTCTCAGTAGTAGGTGCACGTGCATTCATTGTCTGAAATATGGACTCGTATAAGTAGTAGGTGCACGTGCATCCACTGTCTGAAAACGTATTAGTAGGTGCACGTGCATTCACTGTCTGAAATATGGACTCTATACGTATATGTATATGTATTAAGAGATGCACTGACCATGTTTAAATCTTGGATCCGTCCTGTTAACTTGTCTCTTCTTGCAGGTAAAAAAGATACACCAGGAGAAAAAACTAGACATGTTGGTGGACAAGGACATGAAAAACAACTATGATAGAATTGAGCTAGAGGAAATGGTACAAGTTGCATTATTGTGCACTCAATATCACCCAAGCCAGAGACCAAAAATGTCAGAAGTTGTAAGAATGCTAGAAGGGGATGGACTAGCAGAGAAATGGGAAGCTTCTCAAAGAGCAGAACCCAACACAAGATGCAGCAGAGCCAATGAGTTTTCCTCTTCAGAAAGATACTCTGATCTCACTGATAATGATTCTTCATTGCTTGTACAAGCAATGGAACTATCTGGTCCAAGATGATTAATAAAGAGCATCAGAGACAGAATGCCAGAACAAGAATCCTGTGTGATATTTGAGATTGTTTATAAGATTATACAGAAGCTGCAAATAGAATATGCATACATTCCGACTGTAAAGGATAATTTGTGAACAACTGATTAGGCTGAGAGTTATTTTTCTTTTTTGTTTACTGGCTGAGTGAAAATATTTATGGGATGTTCTTATTCATATATATATATATATAGAGAGAGAAATATAATACACTTCACTTGCTAATTTATCAGTTTACATGCAAATCATAGACCTTTGGTACATTGAAAACTCTATATTTGAGCGCAACTCATTTGACCCGCCCAACCCGTCGAAGGTTGGATGGTCATTGATGCGCCCATTTGTTGAACTCAGCCCATCTTGAACCAACCATTTCACCCCATCTAAAGTTGGGCTGATTTTTGGCCCAAAGTGATCCACGAGAAAACTTCCTTTACTAAAATATATTTCAAAAGTAACTTTTTTTATTTGATATGTTATATATGACCATAACAAAAGAAAAAAAATTCTTATTTGATAATTAAACAATTCATAAGAAAACAATACACATTAATTAAAGCGTTGAGTTGGGCGGATGGGACTCTGGCCCAAATTGTAGCCCAACTTGATCCAGCTAATTTCAGCCCAAGTCACTTGTGAACCGGTCATTGACCTGCCTGTTTATTGATTGAGCCCATTTTGACCCGCCCAAATTCAGCCCAACCTGCCCATTTGATACCCCTAAATGTGATGGTGATTTTACAAGAACGAATAGTATAACCGCAACTCTAGTATCCTCGCTCTGCTCACAGGCAATAGAAGGTGAAATAATTGCAAGATCGCGTTTCAAGAGTGCAGTTTCGGAGATTGATGACTCGCCGACCACTTCCTCCAGATCCTTGAGGTTTCTGTGGAACTCTCAGAGCATCTTGTATCCCCTAGTTTCACTTCAACCTTGGCTCTACATAATGCTCATCTGAGTTGTAGGGATGCTTTGTTTCTAAATCGTCAACCATTTCATAGTATGAAATCACTATGTTATTGTTTACAGAATAACAATTCTTACATTGCTATTCACTGTTATAACAACCTATATATTATACAACCACAACAACCCAGTCAAATCCCACAAGTGAGGTCTAGGGAAGGTAGAATGTACGCACACCTTACCCCTACCCCAGAGGAGTAGAGAGGCTGTTTCCGAGAGACCCTCAGTTCAAGAAGACGAAAATAGACAATAGAATCTGTGATAACAACAAAAATAAGGAACCTACATATTATAATCCATGCACAATTAATTTGTGATACTAACAACACCCCATAAAAGGTATTTTTGAAAACAAATATTACTTGGTTATAACCTTTTAGATTACGCAGATTTTGATACAATAATAAAAATAATCCAGCAATTATTTCAACTGCAATATAATCACCATATTATAATCTGTGTAACTTCCCTGAGAATCAAAGGACACCTAAAGGTCAAGTATATAGGTAATGTTTTGCTATACAACAAATTTCCAAGAAGTAGCTATCCTTGTATATAAACACTTCTCCCACCAGTGATGTCAAAATAGCATCCTTCCTTTGATTTGTCTCTAGATGTCAAATACACAAAAAAATTCTGACCAAACACAGAATAACATTTAAAAAAAATAATCAAAATATCTAGTATGATATCCATAAAGAAAAAAGTTGTGAACTACACATATCATGCTACTGGTTCTGGTAAAGACTTCCAGATCAATTTTCTTTGCTATAGGGGGAAAAAGAAAGGAATAGAGCAACAAAGAGGGAAAGAACATACATCTTGTACATGAACCTATAATGGCTCTTGAACAAATTTGACTGTAGCTAAAGGAGAAGCCCGTCGAAAAGTTAACAAATCAATCAACATTTTCACCACTTTATCCGTGACATATATAGTAGGAGCAACAATCATTTGTTCAAGCACAGGCGAATGTCCAAGTAAGAATTTGATAAATGCTATTTCATGCGGCAGACCAGAGAAATCAGACATCTGGACAATCTTCAGTTTACCGAAAGTACAGTCAGCAGGCCAGTCTTTCTCCCAAAAGTCCAGATCATAAATATCAGTTGTAGTTGTGATTGAGGAACTCTGACAAAGACAAGGTGCATAAACAGGAGCATTTTGTGAAAATCTATATTGTTTAGAATAAGAAATCGTGCATTTTGACTAATACTTACTGATATCTGAAGCTCTTCTAGATTAGGGGAGCTCACAATCAAGCGAAGCACAACAAGTAACTCTTTCATGTCTTCAAAACTAACTTGGTACAGTTCAATGAACTTCAGATTTTGATACATAACGGGAAAGCTTCCTTGCTCATTACCTATACTCAAATACTGTGCACACACCACACACAGGGTGGAAGGAGGGGTTAGACTATAGATATTCAATCTGTAATTAAAACATTTCCGGAAAAAGAGATGCATGAAAGTATTTTATGATCCGACGAATTTCGGGAAAGAACCTTACTTTAGTGAAGTAAATATGGCCAATAAGCCTCTCAAGGCGAGGAACACAACCAAGAAACTTGTCAAAATTGCAACCTGAGCTTTGTTCAAAGTGCTCAGCTATATCATCAGTCATATACATAGCAACTGAAATGCCGATCAAATGTGGGGTGTTCTCAAGGCGTATATCCTTAAATTCACCTTCCAAATTCAAATATTTGAGATTTGGAGCTCGAATAGTAAGCTCCAAACTGTCAAAATATGACAAAGTCAAGCTCTCAAGAAGAGGGCAACTCGAGATCAGACCTTCAATATCATGTGGAGGAATGATAACTTGCTGCAGGCTAAGGTGCTTCAAAGACAAGAAGCCTTTGAAATTTGGAGGAGGGTTTAATTCACATCGAACAAGCACCAAATGAGTCAACTTCGGACAAAAGAACAGACAAGAAGGTGCTCTAAACCAGTCATCTTCTCCTATATCAATAATCAACTCTTTAATATTTTTACGCGAAAGGAAAAGTAGCCATTGATCTAAATCAGGAGAAGTTGGTGAGTAGGAAGTATTCAATTCAAATTTGTGAATTGGTCCGTCATGAAGAAACAGACAACGAGTAATGAAATTTACAAGATTGCAACTGATAATTGCTTTGTCCTGGCAAGGAATCAGACATGTGTCATTAAAAACAAGCTCCGTAATGGTTGCCCACTTGTATCTCCATTTCCTTGACAATACGCTTGTCCTTACAGCATCTAGTAATGGAAGTTTTATGAGGATGGTTTCTATGATACTTTGGGGCAAATCACTTATTAAATCTCTACCCGAATCAGTGTCCATTCATCAACTTCAGTTGAATAATATCTGCACAAAGATCAAATTCAACCACTCAACTTTCAGAAAAGACAACTGAACTCTTTGTTACAGATTCAATTTAAAGACCTAAAGAAAGTTACACTACTTTTTCCTCATAAAAAGAGCATTCAGAAAAGACATCACACTGTTAATTGTCAACAAAAAGACCATCTTTTAGAAAACTTCAAATTAGACCAAACTAATGAGATCTCTCTGTCTGCATCACTTCATTATGCAGAAAACGGAGAAATGGGACAGAAATAAACTATAACACAATATCACAACCTCTTAACCTATCCCCCCACCCCACCCCACCCCACCCCACTCAAAAGCAAAAGGGCAGGGGCAGATGTAGAGTTAAAGTTAGGGATTCATCCGGACCTAGTAGCTTTGGCTTGGACCATATATACAAATATATTAACAAACTTCACTAGATAAGTACAAATAATTGATTTCGAACCCATAAATCAAATGAGTTGTGGTAGAATCTCGAACTCGAACCCACAAAGTTCAAATCTTTGATCCGCCTGTGAACTAGAAGGTGGGTGCACATAAGCATTTAGGCAAAGAGACTGTTTCCACGACTCGAATTCATAGATTATGAGTAATCAAATGAGCAATTCTACCATTGCATCCCTACCCTCAATAGAATAAAATTTGATACGGGTCTCCAAGAAAATGTACAACTTGTAGTCATCAAAATCAATGGAAAGAAATTTTCAAAATCATGTATTTGCTAAACCCCAGAATCCCTAATTCAAGAATTTTCCGATCAACAAAACAAACACACACTTAATGTCAATCATATAGCCTATAAATCAACAGATAAATTTAACCTCTATCAACTTTTTGGACAAAACCCATATCAAAATTAGCTAATTTAATCACACCCAGATGATAAAAATGTAATCTTAAACAAAAAGCTGTACAGTACCAAAGTATAAAGCAAAATAACAGTTCAATTAAAAGGTAAACCTGGGATTGAATTTGAAGGGACTTTTGAATTTTTCGGACAGCTGATTCTGTTAGGTTTCTGATCGGTACATCGGTCGAACAAGACAGGAGACAGAAAAATGATACGTATTACATGCGGGGGTGTCTGCGAATGCGTGACAAGTTGATGTTTCTCTAAAGTCTGTCCCCTACATATGACGGCAAATTATAAAATGAAATATAGTACTCCAATGTGTAGTTTATTAAAAGTATAAGGACCTGTCATATAATTTTGAAAATTATACTTCACCCTCTAAAATTGTTGAATTTTAGGACTTCTTGGTGCTCTTGTAACCTTTTTTTTTTTTGGGACATTGAAAAAATTAAATAAATTCTTAAAATATTTCATAAGCTACATGACTTTTAAGTATGCTATGAGAATAAACTCCATTTCTTTTGAACGCGTCTTCCTAAATTAATACTAAATCTTTTTTATGTTGTGACATTCGTTCGCCAAGAAAAACTGCACATTAGTATGCTCTTGTTATATTTTTTTATTTACGCAATAACTCGATATTTTTTATACTTTAGAAAACAAACTTACCAACTTTCTAAATTAAAGGCCTTTTTAATTATGATTAGTCCAGTGTACTTTCACCCTCTAAATTGCAATTTTCCATTATGCAACACACTTCTAGTAGTAATTTTCCTCAAAACCTCCACCAGTATCTCCCTATCTGCTCTTTCTATGTTATTCTTCGGAAATTAGAAGCAGTCCTGCGGTTGGACGTTGGAGATCCATTTCTTTTAATTTTCTCTTTTTGTTTAATTATTTATTCTGATATCCCCAATATTTGGTTAGTCTTGAAGTTCCTTCCAGATTATTCAATAAACATATTTCTCTATTCTATTTGTTATGGTTAGTTATGGAATTCTAATTTCATTTTTAAGAGTATGTCGTTAATTGAAGCTTTTTAACTAAACTAATGTTTTAGTTGGGTGGACGATCCTTTTTGTTGTATAACACACACATCAAAGAGTTTTATTATTTATTTTTTTTACTTCAAACACGAGTCACGATTTTATTGCCACTGTGCGCAAAAAGAAGTTGCCGAAGGGAGACTAGGCCTTACCTTCGTATACATTTTGGAGCTTGTACTAGCAGGACTCAAGATTTATAAACATAACAGTTACCTAGCTATGAACAAACTCGTTGACCCCAAAATAAAGTGGCAATAAAGCTGGGAGTTCAAGGTGGCTCGAACGCGAGCATGCTTGGTCTCCTCTTCTTGACTCGAAATGAAGGCATTTTCCATCTAATCTGTGTTCAAAAGTCCTTTAATCTGACTAGGTAAAGAGCAAAAATTTGTACATATGTACTAGTTTTCCTGATTGTGGCTTAGAGAGGCCATTCTATCTGCGACTTGGTTGTCCTCTCTAAAACAATGATTAGTGAAGATACATTGTCTATTAATGAGTTTCTTAATATCTTGGACTGCTTCTTTGATTCTCCACGGAATGGTCCAGTTGCCAGAGATGCAATTTTGTAGTAACATTGAATCAGTTTCATCAATGATTAAGTTGAACCTTTTTTCTATACATCACTTGATCCCAAACAAGAATGCACATGCCTCAGCCCAATTGCTTGTACCTTGCCCCAGCGGAATGGAGTAGGCCATTATAAATTTGCCCAGATTGTCCCTCACTACACCTCCTCCTCCACATTCACCATTTCTGCATGAACCATCACTGTTAAGTTTCACGAACAAGATAGGTGGTTTAATCCCATTTCACTACAGAGGTATTAGTTTCCATTAGAGGTAGTTCCCAAACTCTGTACACGTTCTCCCATGTGTAGTTGAGATCCAATTTCCTGAATTGAGCTTTGATAATTTGTATAATATTGAAGTGGATCAGTGAGATAGATCTGGCAACTGCTAGCCTCTCCATTTCATATTTAGAGCTGCATCTTGACCTCCATAACTCCCATATTACTAGAGGTGAAAGTATCCTGCAAATATAGGCAGCCATAGAGTTAGCAGTATTATGATTCCAGTAATTTACAAGCAAGTTTCTAAGTGGTACTCCCCTGTATACAATGCTAATCTTGCCAGCATAGTAGTCCCATATGAGCTGCCCATATTGTCCACTGATGAACAAATGTTGCACAGACTCTTCTGCAGGTTGCATATTTAAACCTGTACAACAACAACACTAAGAAACTATATTACTGCCAATTTTTTTTAATTCTATCATCAGTGGGAATTCTGTCATGGACAACTCTCCACGTAATGCAGGCAATTTTAATAGGCACATTTTTGTGCCAGATCATGCTATCAAATTGGGAGATCTGTTTCCTCTTAGTTTCTTCCAGGTAGAGGCTATGGAGAACTTTCCATCTCGAGTTTCATTCCAGAATGGGATGTCATTTTCATTAGGATGAATATTGATTTGAAGAGCTGAAATCTGGTCTTTCACATTGTCAGGAGGCTGGATGTTTAAAGTGGACCAGTCCTAGAGACCCTCATTTAGAACTTCATTGACCTTGATATTATCCTGTATAATAGCTCCTCCCATTCTATTGTGTAGAGGACCAAGCTTGGACCAGTTGTCAAACCAAAAACTGATATTCCCTTTTTTTAACTTCCATTGGATGTAGGGCTCCAGTTCACTCTTCAACTTACATATGGCCTTCCAACTATGTGATTGCCCATTCCTCCACTAAAGGTTGACTGGATGTTCATTGCCAAACAATTTGGCTTTTGTGAATTGAGACCATAGGGAATTACTGGTTATCAGATTCCACCATTTTTTAGTCGTGAAATCATGATTAATATCTTCAAGCCTTCTGAAATTAGCTCCCCCTCTTCATAAGGGAAACACAAGTTAGATCAGGAGACCCAGTGGTATCTTCCCCCCTCTTCTTGGCCAGACCAGAAAAATCTGGCTATAAACTTCTCAATCATATCTAGTGACCCTTTAGGTGGATGAACAGCTGCCATCGTGTGAGTATTGATGGCTAGGAGAACATGTCTAATGAGGACAGCCCTGCCCCCACTAGATAAAAATTTTAGATGCCAACCTCTAACTCTGTTGATGGTTTTGGTAACCATATCCGCAAAGATAGAGATCTTCTTTCTCCCATAGTAGATAGGACAGCCTAGATACCTCATGGGGAGTTTATCAAACCTCATACCAAGAATCCTTCCCACTCTTCTGATAGTGATCTGAGGGGCATTCTCAGCCATAGAGTAGCAGCTTTTGTTCTTGTTTATCAATTGGCCAGAAACAGTTTCATACGTATTTAGAATATTTAGAATAAGGTGGAGGGAGTGCTTTTCACCACTAGTGAAGAGGATAGTATCATCAGCAAAGGCTGGATGGTTAACTTGAGGGCCTTGTCTCTTCATGTAGAAACCATGGAATCTCCTATTGTCTTGGAGAGCATTGAGCATCTAAGACAATAATTCAGCACTGAGGACAAAAGGGGAAGGAGAAAGAGGATCGCCTTGTCTAAGACCTCTGCTGGATTTAAAGAAGCCATGCCTGCTACCATTGACTATCAGAGAGTACCAGTTATTAGAAATGAACCTATATATAAAATTAATCTATTCCTCAGCAAAACCCATATGTCTTAATATGAAACATAGATATGACCAGGAGACTCTATCATATGCTTTAGCCATGTCAAGTTTAATAACAACATTGCCACCTCTCATAGGTTTCCTAATATCATAAACAATTTCCTGAGCCAAAAGAATGTTTTTAGTGATGGCTCTACCTTTCACAAAGCCACTTTGGTTAGTAGAGATGATTTTAGGCAAGAGGGAGCTAAGTCTAGCATTGATAACCTTGGCAATGATTTTTCCAGTAACATTACATAGGCTAATTGGTCTAATATACTGAGAAGCTTTGGGGAGAATCAACTTTTGGGAGCATCACCAGTCAAGTATGAGGGAAAAATCTAGGTAAGACAGCTCCATGGAAAAAATCCACCACTGCTCTATGAACATCATTACCAACCACAGACCAAGCAGTTTGATAGAATCTTCCACTAAGGTCATCTGGACCTGGTGCACTATCAGGATCAATAGATAAGACATTGTCTTTGACTTCTTGAGTAGATGGAGTGGACATCAGGAAGTTGTTATCATCATCATTGGTGACCTTTTTAATAATATTCAAGGCTTGAAGATCTTCAGTGGTGTTATCAGCGCTGAAAAGATCCTGAAAGAACCTTACTCCAACAGCAGCTATCTCAGTAGTACCCTCCACCCAATTACCATTACAATCTTTGATCTTCATGATGGATAACTTTTTCCTTCTATCACGAATGGAACCATGAAAGAAGGCAGTGTTTTCATCACCTTCAGATAACCACCTTACTCTGGCTTTTTGTCTAAGCACACTATCTTGCAATTTCAGGAATCTGGTGAATTCTGCCTTAGCTTTGGATAATTTGAGCACGTTGCCTTGGTTGTTGTCATCAGGTAGACTTCTTCTAGTCTTCTTATCTCCATTTCCAGTTTTTTTGGTTCCTTATATCCCCAAATGCAGTTCTAGACCAAGAGCTTAATGCACTGCATACTCTTTTGATTTTTTATGCAAATTGTACAGAGGATTGCCATTGTCTTCTCCAAGCCAGGACTGTTGAATCACATTGAGGTTCTCCTCGTGCTCCACCCAGAAATTCAGAAACTTGAAATACCTAACATGCTCAGAAGGACAAGAACCACAAGCAATTCAATAGTGGAGAGTGATCGGAACAGGATCTAGACATGTGCGTGACTGAGGTCCCACCAAATAGATCAAACCATTCAGCATTGTAAACCAATCTGTCCAATCTTTTCAATATAGTGTTTGGAGGGTCTCTATTGTCACTCAATGTGAAACCAAATCCTACATAACCCCCATCTTGTAACTCACAATAAGAAAGACAAGAGATGAAGTCAAGACTTTCCTCAACTCTAAAATCTCTGGCCCCTAGTTTCTCTTCAGCATTGGAAATAACATTAAAGTCCCCACGACTCCCCATGGACCATTGATAGTACTGGCAGTTGCTCTAAGATCATCCCACAGAAGGTTTCTCAGTTGCTCATCACATTTGGCATAGACTACAGTCATGTAGAAGAATATAGGCCTATGTGTATCAGTGATGTGCACTAATACATGTTGTTCTCTGTCTTCTATGATATCCAACACATATTCATTGGACCATAGAATCCAGATTTTGTTGGAGCAATTATTGAAACAAGACTGGTAGCCCAGTCTTCTTTTAAATCTGTCTATCTTTCTTGCTGCAGCCATAGGCTCTTGAAGGAAGACAAAGGAAATTTTGTATTGTTGCTTAATAGTTTTGAGTCTTTCAGTAGCACCTTGTGACCCAACCCCCTAATATTTCATGATATTGTATTGATCATGAAAAACATCAAGTTAGTGGTCTGCTTGATCTTTTTGGTTGTTGTCTGATTCAATAGCAGAGAAGAAACCTGTTCCACTCCTGCTCGAATCTCGCAACCTTCTTGGAGACAAATTGTTGAAAAAAGTGACATTTTGTTGAACCTGATTAGTAGTATCCTTCCTTCCGGCAATTAACAAAGCTCTTTCTTGCAGTCTAAGTTAGTTCATCATCTGATTTGGAGCTAGGTTGTTCCTTTGTTAAGCCTTCCATGCTAGTGTCATTTTCCTGATCCTTGTAGGCTGTGTCATCTATTGTGGAGCTTGATAACTGTACGGGCCTCTGTTCTATCCTTTTCTGCTTCCTCATGCACTCTCTCTTTAAATTTTCTTCCAGCATAGCTATCATTCAAATTGGGGTCCAGTCCATAAAGAGGGGAATTTAGTTGACCCAAGCCATCACCTATCTCCTTATTTTGATCCAAACTAGTAGGTTCTGGGATTATAGAAACTTCAATAGGAATGAAGTCTTTAGCACTGAATCTCTTCCTGTTGCTGCTCAGTTTTTGCATCTCTTCTTTTGTCACATGAACTTGGCTGAAATCCATGACTTGGCATCCGTCATCTTTCTCCTCTGGATATCTAGTTTTTTTCCCTGTTAATTTTCCCTTGGCCTCCCTTAACCTTCTGCATTTGGGGTTTCTTCTTGATCTTGGTGTTTCTTTCCTTGTCAAGTCTGGTAAGATTCTGAGCAATTGTGTGGAGCTGATAGTTACCTCAAACAATGACTCAATGTTGTCAACAGCTACGACATCCATGGCTTCATTTCCCTTCATAGTATTGTGTGTTACCACCACAGTTTTTTGCCCTTCTTTGGCTTTGTAACCTTGTTGAACCCGCCCTTATTTAGACTGTTTGGCGGTATTGTCATTTCCTCCTATGCTAGTCTCTGTGCCCCTTTGTTCTTAGATTCGCATTTCTCTTTCCCTTCTTGCTCTCAACTGTTTTCCATCCCTCTTCATTAACAACTTCTTTCATGAGCTCTTTAGGCACCATTTTGATGGTTAGGGACTGCGTTTGCAATTTTGGAGGTTGACGCATAAATGTTTCCTCTAGTCATCTGATGGTCTTCACCTCTTTTGCTGGTATCTTGATGGTCAATTTCCTGCGTGATCTTGTTGGAGACAGCAATATTCCCGAGTTTTTTTTTTCCTTTCTCCCAACTTCTTTTTTCAGCTCTGGATGTAGCATCATAATGACCTCTCATTTTGCATTGAGTGCTGAAGGCAGGTATGCTTTCATATTCAATCTTTTGCACCACATATTCTTTACTGCCTTCGCCGTTGATAATTTCCAGCAGCACCACTTAGACAATAGGTTTTGCTAAGTTAATCTCCACCCTAACTTTGGCTGTGGTGGGTCTTGTTTTGGACATAGTTGCCTTGTCCATGATTAGAGGGATTCCCACAGGTCCAAGAATGCGATATAAAGCATCCCATTCATAATAGTGCCATGGGAGGTTAGGAAGAGTAATCTAGACATGAGTGAATGACGACTCGACATCAGGTTTGAATGAAGCTGATCATTTTAGTATAGCCATTGTGTTATCTCTGCCAAAGGACATGTAATTTCTCGAAATAACCTCAGAGTGATCCTCTTTGTTATCAAAGTCGATGAAGACGTGGTGCATATCATAATCCCCAATCTTGATATTGCCTTTTCCAGGGATAGTTTTAGCAAATTCACTGTGTATGAGTTCTATAGAGGGCCTAATACGAGTGAACTTACCAATAATCGTCCATTTGCATGTCTGAGCAAGAAGGTCATTCTCCTCTTTAGTGAAGGTAACCACTGGTTTTCCTTCAAACAGACCATATGGTCTGTAAGGGAGAGTAATAGAGCCTTGTCTGTTGCTTTTATCTGCATTCCTCAACACACCTTTATAGGAGGTTTGGGATGAGGGATCAGTACCAAAATTTCCTGTATAAGAGACAATTTTATTACTAGCAGCAGTAATTCCGGAACCTTGAATGATATTCCCTTATAGATTTAGGGGAGGGAAGTTCTTTTGTTGTTGGATTTTGAAATTATTGGTGGAATTTGGCTAACTACCCGTATATAAGGGCTTTAGGGCAGGGAAATTTTTATGATTAGTTGACAATAATTGATTCCTCTGAGGTATAGCTGCTTGGATTGGGTATGAAGGGTCGGGGGGGGGGGAGGGGTAAGTCAACCGATTGGAGCATGTGGATCTTGCCGGAAAATTGATCGAGAGAAGGGTGGAGACAGAAAGAGCCGTTAATGGGGGGAAATTAGCCGTTAGAGAAGGAGGAAAGTTAGAGAGAAGCTGCTGCTTCTCACTCTAGAGATTTATGATGCTTGTTTTTAAGTAATCATATGAGGATCACACATTAAAGAGTTATGGTTCCAACTAAGCTTTGTGAAGGAACATAACTAATTTATCGATTGAGTTAGCAATTGATATGTACCCTAATAAATTTAAATTTGTGAATGCAGATTTATCTTTTCGGTCAAAGGACAAATTGAAGAGAAAAAGAGAAGAGTGAGATCCAAACAAAAGCTACTAATATTGTTTTAAAAGGTGGGGGCGTGAGGCGAGTCATTTTACCTCTGACGAGGCGATGCGTAAGCCCTTAGACATGGGTTATAAGTCCCCTTAGACATGGGTTATAAGTCCCACGGATCTTTAAATTTTATTAATTTCAAGAATTTTAAGATAGTATAAAATAAAAAATAATTATAAAAATTATAATAAAATCACAAAATTATAACAAACAATCTATTTAAAATATTTATAAATTATAATTCAACTATGAATAATACGAAAAGTATGACATGTATCATAATATGCAAATTAGCTGCAACGTCGTTACAACTCAAACATCAAAAGTAATGTATTCAATGCGAAATCGTATATGTGTTTCTTAAGGAGTAATGAATCTTGAAAAAATTTCGATGTTATAATTTGATATTTTTTTTACAACTCCTATTTGAAGAGAATTTATATAAAAATATAATTCATAATTTAAATATAATTCTCTAGCATCATTTATTTTTAAGTTTCAACAAGTTAATAAAGTGACACATAATTCACCATACTATACCATGATAACTAATAATTTGAAAATAGTTACTAGCTAATACTAGGCTATTAAGTTAATAAATATTGTATCTCGTAAAGTGAAAAAAAATATTTAGGAAAATAATTTTAAAAAAAATTATGGACTATTATATAATAAAGACTTGTCACGACCCAAAATCCAAACATGGTCGTGATGGCGCCTATCGTGTTACTAGGCAAGCCTACTTCCCGAAATATTACTATTGATTGATTTTAAGAATTTAATAAAACAATATCAACATTTAAAATTTTCATAAACTAAATCAACTCTAAATATAATTAATATAAAATACGGAAACGAGTCCCAAACATCGGGGTGTCACCAAGTCAAGAGCGTTTAAAACTATAAACTAAGATATATAAACTGTTTAACTGTCCAAAAGAAGAAATGACAAGAGGAGTAACAAGGTCATGCGGACGCTAGCAGCTACCTTGTAATCTCCAAAGATAGTCGGCCTGAACTCAATAATCGCCGCGCTCTAACTCACCTGGATCTGCACATAAAGTGCACGGTGTAGTATGAGTACAACCAACTCAGTAGTAACAGAAATAACTAAGGAACTGAGTAGTAGTGACGAGCTAAGCAAAACAGTCCAATTATTTATTTTCATAATTTACAATAAACATGAATAAACAGGTAAATTCCATAAATCAGTAAATGCCACAAAGAAATTAACAGGTAAAATGCAGCAACAGCAAAAGTAAATGCAACCTCACAGCAGTGGCACTCATCACTCATCACTCGCACTCAGCACTCAACACTCAATACACTCAACACTCTACGTTAACTGGGGGTGTGTACAGACTCCGGAGGGGCTCCCAAAGCCCAAGCGCTAAGCACGGATAACTCACGTGCTACCATATCAATACCTGGATCTGCACGGTCAACTTACGTGCTACGCGGACAACTCATGCGCTATGGTATAAATACTTGGACCCGCACGGTCAACTCACGTGCTATGCGGACAACTCGCACGCTATGGTATTAATATCCTCACAACCAGGCCATCATATCAATACTTGGATCCGCACGGTCAACTCACGTGCTACGCAGACAACTCACGCGCCATGGTATCAATACTTGGACCCGCACGGTCAACTCACGTGCTACGCGGCAACTCACGCGCTATGGTATTAATATCCTCACAATCAGGCCATCGGTCTCACTCAATCATGTACCTAACTAACCTCACCATCATCAACAAATAAGGGGACATAGCCCACATCAAGTATCACAACATATTAGCAAATAATAGAGACGGAGGTAAACATGTACAATAATTTCTATGCCTAAGTATAATTAATGTGAGCATGAATAAAGCCTAAGCATGATCCCTAACATGAAGGTAGACAAGTTCAACAACAAGTAAATGCATAAACACAAATAATGGCCATTAGGCCTCACAGCCTCACAGGATGGACCAAGTCTCAATCCCTCGAGGCGTACACCCACACGCCCGTCACCTAGCGTGGGTATCACCTCCAAAAAATCACATGATATCAAACTCTCCAGGTTTATACCCTCAAAGCCAGAGTTAAAACTGTTACTTACCTCAACAGCGTAAAATCCTACTCCGGGATGCCCTCGTCCTCGACTCGGTCTCCAAAAGCTCCGAATCTAACCATAATCAGAATAATATTATCTACATGGCTAGAGAATCGAATTCCACAATAAAAACTACAAAAATAGGCCAAAAATACAAAATCGGCCAAAACCCGGCCCCCGGGCCCACGTCTCGAAACCAGTCAAAAATGACAGAATAATAAACCTCGTCCTCTCCCGAGTCTAACCATATCGTCAAAATTGGACTCCGTTTGGTCCCTCAAATCTTCACTTAAAACTCTCCAAAACTCAAACCCTAAATCCCTCAATTTCACTTTGAAATCATCAATCAAATCCCAAAAACGAAGATGGATTCATGAAATATAACCAAAAACGAGTAGAGAGCACTTACCCCAATCTATACGGTGAAAATCGCCTCCAAAATCGCCCAAATCCGAACTCCCCAACTCAAAATACGACCGGATGAACAAACCCTTATTTTATATATTTTTCTGCCAGCTATTTTGCCTCGTTTCTCGTGCTACCCGAAACTCGCTTTTTATGCCTCCAGTGGATCCATTGTGAAATTCGAGTCAAGTTAGGCTTTTGAATCAATCAATTTGACCTTATAATGAATGAGATATGTTGGTTTCAATATTTGCAAATAGTGCAGATTTTTAATTACGCCGTCAGTGGCAATTCCGTAATTAATCTGAAAAATCTGGCAACCTAATTCTTAGTAAAATGACCATAAAATCCTCATATGATGTTCAAATTCGACGATTCTTTTTGCTACGGGTCCGTAATTATGATACAGATCTAATGCTTCAATCAAAAAAGAAATAGGAGCTCATTTGTTCAATATGATATCATTTATGCTTGAAGAAACCGCGTCGAAACATAAGAAAAACGAGCGCAACACAACCCAAACCTATCCGAAACTCACCCGAGGCCCTCGGGACCTCAACCAATAATTCCAACAAGTCATATATCACTACCAAACTTAGTCGAGCCTGCGGAATACCCAAAACAACACCAAATCAACCTCGAATTCAAGCCTATGAACTTCTAAACTTCCAACTTTCGCCAATTCAAGCCTAATTCTACCACAGACCTCCGAATTACATTCCAGACACACTTCTAAGTCTAAAATCACCCAACGAAGCTAATCAAATCATAAAAATCCAAATCCGAATTCTTTCTCATAAGTCAACTTCCGGTTGACTTTTCTAACTTAGCTTTCTAACTAAGAGACTAAGTGTTCATTTCACTGCAAAACTACTCCGAACCCAAACCTACCAACTCGATACAACTCAATATAGTTGAATAACACATAAAGAAATAGAAATGGAAGAAACGGGGCTATAACTCTCAGAACGACTGACCGGGTCGTTACAAGATATAACAACGTAGACGAAGGGAGAGGGGCTTTTTCGAAATGCTAGAAACTTATACGTATATAGATACAGTGAGTGTGCATGCGGTTAATAAATAAATACTTTTAAATGAAAGATTTATTTAAAATTTACTATCATAGCCGTCTTAGTGGATAACGTGCAATAATTTTTATTTTAATTATGACATAGAATACTTTCAACTTAATGATTAATGACTAAGAAAAAAGTAATCTTGAATAGCCAACGATTTATTAAGAAAATTTAAGGATTTACAAGGTTAGTTACAACACAATTGCATAAAATTCTATTAGGCGAGCCCAGTACGCTGGGCGTTGGGCGTGTCCGGACATATTATTTATAAGGTAAGAAAAAAATTAAATAATCAGTAAAAACTATTTTAATAAGAAGAATAGTAAAGTCATATTAATGTTGATAAATCGGACAAACAAATATTTTATACGTAAATATTACTACGATAGTCAGATATAATGTGTTCAAACAATTAAGAATTTTTTTTTGAATGATTAATATTTGAATTGAGTGCAATTTGTTTAAGTTTGAAAGCATAACATAAATTTTTGAAAATACGGTCCAATTTAGAAAATAGAATGATAAAAATTATTTGAATTTGAGATGAGAAAGTTATTTGATTTTTATCTATACTATATTAGAATGAGTGTGGTAGTGATATTAAATTCAAACAAGCTAACAAAAATTCACATGACAACATAATAATATTAGAAATTGAATATTATAATATCAAAAATAAATAATAAATAGAGAAAAATTAAAAATTCAGATTTTTTATCATAGAGAAAAAGGGTAAAACTAATTTAAATTTGAGGTGAGAAAGTTTTTTATATTGTGATAAGAAAAGTCATAATATGGATAAGTCCACGTAACCCTAATAGATAAAATCAAAAACTAAAAATATTGAATAATAAAAAAAATTAGAGATAATGTGTGGATATTTATAAATCATAGGTTTAGAAAATAAAATAAAGTAAATATACAATACTTAAAAATATTATTAATATTTAAATAATTTAAAATTTTCAAGCAATATTTTTAAAAACAAAATAAATATTTATTTTATGATTAAAAAATTATATATTTATCTAATTATATTAAAGAATAGTAGTTGATAATGATATTAAATAAAGTTACAAGTTAATGAAAAGTCACATAAAACGTAATAAGACTATATGTTAGATTAAGAAAATAGCAAAATTACGTTAAATTTTTAAAAATTTACTATTAGAAATGAAGGGAAAGACTATTTGAATTGAGATTAGAAGGTTCTTAAAACTATGATGAGAATGCTCAAACTATGGATAATTGGTTATGACTCATAATATAAAAATAAAAATTATTAAAAATTATTAGTAGATGTTATAATAAAATAAAAAATTTGATTTTACTTTGAACAAACTCAATATCACAAATTAGTACTCCCTCCGTTCCAATTTATGTGAACATGTTTGACTGGATACGGATCAAAAAGGGGTCCTGAGTATTTGTGTGGTTATAAAAGCTTCTCGTTAAGGGTAGAATTGTAAATTTAATCTAAATTGTTACCAAATTTAGAAAGGGGTCATTCTTTTTGGAGCGGACCAAAAAGGAAATAGGTTCACATAATCTGGAACAAAGGGAGTACTAAATATGATATTATAGGTAAAAAAGTTAGATGCAGAAAACTAATTAAAATGTCACAATAGTTTTGAAAAATGTATAAATAGGGAGATAGAGATAATATGAGAACATTTATAGTTTGAATTAATTATAAAATGAAGTAAGTATGTAATACACAAAAATATTATTGATTAATTTAGAAATAATAGAAAAAGTACCAAGTAAGATGTGTGTGTGTATATATTCAACTAATGGATAATATAATAAAGAAAATAAAAAATAAAAATACTATTCTATTATGATCTACTTCCTCTAATTTCATATAGATTTTTTATTAGATATATTATATTGAAAATCAAAATGGAAGTTGAATTTTTATTTTTCAAATAATGTAATCTAATATGCTCAAAGTAACAGATATCACAATTTGAAATAATTATACTTTTTAATACGATCTGCGCATCGCGCGGGTTACAATACTAGTTATTTGTAAATAGTTACTAGCTAATACTGAGCTATTAAATTAATAAATATTGTATCTCGTAAAGTGGAAAAAAAATACTTAGGAAAATAATTATAAAAAAAATTATGAATTATTATATAATAAAGACATAACAACGTAGACGAAAGGAGAGGGGCTTTTTCGAAATGCTAAAAACTTATACGTATATAGATATAGTGAGTATGCGTGCGGTTAATAAATAAATACTTTTAAATGAAAGATTTATTTAAAATTTACTATCATAGCCGTCATAGTGGATAAGGTGCAATAATTTTTATTTTAATTATAACATAGAATATGTTCAACTTAATGATTAATGATTAAGAAAAAAGTAATTTTGAATAGCCAACGATTTATTAAGAAAATTTAAGGATTTACAAAGTTAGTTACAACACAATTGCATAAAATTCTATTAGGCGAGCCCAGTACGATGGGCGTTGGGCGTGTCCGGGAATAAGCCCCGGGCGAGGCGTAAGTCTCACGGAACCAAGCCACACACATAAGCCCAGGGGTGTTTTACGAGTGCGAGCCCCGGGCGAGTCCCAATTGTGCCTTTTAAAACAGAGGCTACTAAGACACTACTTACTACCTAATAAGATACTAGATCATATGCTCTAGATGCCTGAATGGATAAGCAATATAGCATAAATAATGCAGGCAAAACTGAGTAAAATTTGGCAAGAAATATTGCCTGAAAATTCTGTCTATGATAGAAATTTGAGCTAGAGAAAAAATTGAAGCTGACAAAACCACTAAAAGTAGTGTGGTGAGAGGTCGGGATCCCTCCATCTTGACAAGAGATCTCAGATTCTAATCTCTTAGTAGGGAATGCTTGACCCTTTTGTGAGCTTGCCCGATACGAAACCAAATTAGTCGGGCTAGTGAGTCCGGAGGCGAAATGCCTATAGACAATAGAAATAACACGGACAAAGATTAATAAGAACTTGATGTGGGAACAACTTCAGTGAACGCCTGCCTCCTCTCTAGCAGTCAAATTTTGGAGTCTTTTCCCATATCTTTATCATAACATATTGCATAGTGAATGTGTATAGCTCTTTCTGGTGATGCATTAGACTTCTCTGTCTACAAATTTGACTTTTGTTTTAGGTGATGCCCTCTGAAATTCATTAACCTGTTTCAGTATCTCAACTAATGTTTGAGGAGATTCAGGTTCTATGCAAGGCTCAATTAGCATAGTCTCCAACTTCAGAGACTTGGCCAAGAGAAGCTTGATCAGTTCCATCTCAGGCTTTGTGCCACTAATTTCTTTCAAGCTAACTTTGGTAAGCTGATTCAACTTCATGTCTGAATGATATTCAGCTTCCAAAAATTCAAGAACAGGAAGTTCATCTCCTTTGTCATTAAATGCCTGAGAAAATATTACAAAATGAGGAAAACAACAACATAACCTGGAACATACAAAAAGAGGGGGAAAAAAAGAAGAGAAAATAAGTCAAGATAGTTATTTCAGACCTCCATTCCAATTTCTTCCAAATATGGGGAGCTTCTAATCAAGCAAAAAAGACAGCGGATATCATCTAACTCGCTTATACGAATCTCGCATAGGTAAAGCTGTCTAAGACAGAGAAGAAGCATGGGAAGCCTCACCGGGATTTCATCTATTCCTGCAATTAGTGTCTTCCAAGGCAAATATTAAAGTCAGGACAACAGAGACATGATATGTCAACGAACATAAATAATATTAGTTCTAGACACTTTTACCTTGATAATAAAATAATCCAAGTTGAGATCCTTAAGAGCAGGCAAAGAACCAAAAAACTCCACAAAATTACATTTTCCTCTCTCCACAGAACCATTATTTACATCTTGCATCACAATATCAACATAATCAAGAAGAGGGGTATTCTTGAAACATACAGAATTTATTTTGGTCCCGAAGTAGAAGGATCTTAGTTGAGGAGCATTAACTTCAATAGAGTTCAAAGGGACTGAGATTTCGAGCTCCACATGCTCGAGCTTTGGGCAAAAGGATATTAAATTCTCAAGAGATTTGTCAGAAATAGTGACTTTATACAATTCCAGGATAAGAAGCCTACTAAATGCTTCAAATGCAGGTGGAAGATTGATCAAACAATATTTAAGAGTCAAATGCCTCATGTGTGAACATGTGAAAACTGAAGAGGGCAATTTGTACTTTTCACCCTTCGGAAATTCAAAATCGAGATGCTCGACCCCATTCCTTGACAGAAAAAATATCAAGTTGTCAATTTCAGGGCAGTCTTTCAGATCAGAAATGGAGACTCTACACTCAGTAATTGGTCCTTGATGAAGTGACAAGAGCTGAAAGAGAATCACTGCAAACTTAACTCTAGGGTTGGATATATTCTGCTTGGTTTTTTTCCACAGTCTGCTATCAAGCGTTAATTTTGGAACTTTGGTCCAGTTATACCTCCATTTCCTCGACAAGATACTGGTCCTAACAGCATCTCGCAGAGGCAAACACGTCAAAATGAACTTAATTACATCGCGAGGAAGGTTGCTTATGATATCAGAAGGTTCTCGGCCTGACACTTTCATGATCTTCGTTTCCATCATTTTAGAGAATCGATAGAAGAGTCTGGAGACAACAGAAGACATAAAAATCCAGCAAAAAACTTGAATTCATATTGGAGAAACATGCTGCAACTGTGAGAAGTTAGCAGGAGACTAACCAAGAGAAAACAATCAAATGATTAATGGATCAGAAACAAATGATTAGTTAATATAGTGGCACTACTCATTTCTTTTGATCATGTCAATACACGACCCTTTCCATAACAGTTTACGAGACTAGTTGTATCAAATGATTAATGGCTCAGAAACAAAGAAGAAAAACAAACTATTTACATATAATGCTTTCCAGATGATAAACTGATATATTAAATTTATCAATTAGCATCAAACTGCACACATAGATGAGGTGAAGAATTGAGCCAAACATTTTATTGCAATACCAAATTAAAGAATTAGCTTTAATAAATTTTGTTCACTTTTAGGTTCTCTTACCGAAATACTGCTAATGCCTGATTCATATTCACACGATCTATCCCACATAAAATAATACACAGTAGGGACCGTTTGGTTTGAATTTTAAGAGATATAATCCCACATATAAATCAGCATAAGCTTATACAATGTTTGTTGGAATATTAAGGAGATATAATCTCCACATAGAAATCAATATTAATTAATACAATGTTTTGTTGCTCCTTTTTGTTTTCCTCATAAATAATACCTACATTAAGGTATGTGAGATAGAATCGCGGAACAGGTATGGAGTTATTAGTATACATGGACTAAAAAGCTAAAATGACCAAACACTCATAAAAGTAAGAACTTTTTGTTTTGTTTTAAAAACTAAATAAATATTTTAAATTGTACATTGTATACTAATATTTAGTAATATATCAAACTAGACATTCAACAAGAATCATCCTTGCATTATACGATCCCTATATTACAATCCATACATTGCAATCCTTGCATTAGTAATCGCATCATAACTTGTCTTTAAACCAAACGACCCCCATAATGCATAAAGTCCCACACAAAATTTACACTGAAAAATTATAGGCCAAACCAAACAAGCCTTGGTCTCAAATGTAGTATCTTAGTCCTAAAACTGCAAAATTCAATCTACAAAGCTAATAAAAACTGATAATTCTATCATGTCTTGCACTATAAACATCTTTGAACTGTAAACGACAGTAGAGAATCACTTTCATACTGTGTTAGATGATAGGAAACTTTAAAAAAAATTAAGTTTACATCAGAAACCTTCAGTTCATAATGATACAATAGCTTGAACTTGAAATTCAACATATGGAATGCAGTAATTCAAAAGTATAATTAGAGAGAGAAAGAAAAACATACCAATTTTAATTCTGCCAGGGAGTGAACGTGAGGAGTTCGCTAGAGCAATTTGCTCAAACGAGGGTTTTTTCTTTAAGGCAGGACACGGTATAAGTTGGCGCTCATTTGCTTGTTTTTCTTCGACTCCGCTTGAGAAGAATTTGGGCTTGGGTCAAAGTAGGTGATTTACACAAATAGCATATTTTTGTGCTGCTATTTTGATTTTGTCCCCGCTTTTGATATCTATATCTATATCTATATTCTATATATCTATATCTATATTATATTAAAAGCACGAAGACGCTTAGCGAAATGTTGATTGCCTTTTTTGTCCTTTAAAACATAGAGTTCCCATAGGACAATATAGTAATTTAAGTATTTCATAAATATTTAAAAATATTCACTTAATTAATTTAGTTTTTCAGATTTTTTGGTGAATTTTTCTTCATTAAACTTTGCCTTAATTAATTAGTTAAATTTTCTCACGTTTCTTACCAAGGAAACTTAATAAAAAATATTTCCTAAACTTTCACTCTCATTAAATAACAGATTCCTTTTACTCTTTTGAGTATTAAATGAGTTATTATGTTTCCTTAATTGTAACGACCCGACTGGTCGTTTTGAGCCCTAGTGCACCATTCAGCAGTTCGAGGCCATGAGCAGCTTCAATTCAGGCATTACGACTTGGACGCATGGTCAGAATTGAATTTCGGGAAGTTCGGGGTTGATTCGAAAGGAGAATTTTTATTTCGGAAGCTTTAAGTTGAAAGAATCGACTAGGATTGGATTTTTGAGTAAATGACATCGGAATCGGGATTCGAAGGTTCCAACAGGTTTATAAGAGGATTTCGGACTAGGGCGTATGCCCGGATCGGGTTTTGGATGACCCGGGAGCGTTTTGGCGCCTATTTTGGAGGTTAGCATTTTGGAAGAAACTTCATAGGTTTAGGTTGCAATGCATTTCAGTGTTACCGACGTCCGTTTGAGAATCCCAATCTGGGAGTAGCTCCGCATGGTGATTCTGGAGTTGGGAGCGCGATCGGAAGTGAATTCGGATGTCCGTGGAGCATTTTGGAGTCATTTGGCTAAAGATAGAAATTTGAAGGTTTTTGAGAAGTTTGATCGGAGGTGGACTTTTTGATATCAGGGTCGAAATCCGATTCCGGAAGTTGGAGTAGGTCCGTAATGTCGAATATGACTTGTGCGCAAAATTTGAAGTCAATCGGACGTGATTTGATAGGTTTAAACATCGAAAGTAGAAGATTGAAATTTCTAAAGTTCATAAAGCTTGGATTGGAGGTCGATTCGTGGTTTTAGCGTTGTTTGATATGATTTGAGGCCTCGAGCAAGTCCGTAATGTGTTTTGGGACTGGTTGGCATGATTGGTTGGGGTCCCGGGGGCCTCGGGTGGATTCCGGATAGTTAACGGATCGAAAATGAAATTTGGAGAAGTGCTGAAGCTGTTGCTTCTGTCATAACCGCACCTGCGGTTGGTGGACCGCAGGTGCGAGACCGCAGATGCGGTCCTCCCATCGCAGAAGCGGCCCAGGGCAGGCCAGGCCAGGAACCGCAGATGCGGCCTGGAGACAGCAGATGCGGTCCCAGCTCTTTGGCCCATTTTCGCAGATGCGGCCCATTTCTCGCAGATGCGGTCCCCTGACCGCAGATGCGGAAATGCTGGAGGCAGTGAGGTTCTTTTAAATCGGGGGTTGGGTTCATTTCAACCCCATTTTCTTCCATTGGAGCCGATTTGGAGCAACTTTGAGGTGCCATTTTCACCACCAAGCATGAGGTATGTAATTTATGTTAGTTTTGAGTTAAATACATGATTATATACGGACTTGGACATGGAAATTGTAGAAAACTTGGGGTTTGAGGGGAAACCTAGAAAATTGATATTCTTGGAATTTGACCATGATTTTGGGTATGGAATTAAGAGAAAATTATATATTTGAGTTCGTGAGGCTATGGATAAACTTATTCTTTAAAATTTTTGGAAATCCGGGCACGTGGGCCCGAGGGCGTTTTTGTCAACTTTCCAATCGGGGTTAGGAATTGTTNAGACCCAATGCTGACTTTCCATCTCTAAAGGCAGTATAATTTTTATTTTTTATATATTTTAAATAAATATTTTATTAGGCCCACGGGTCGGCCCGACCCAACCTCAGTCAAGCCTCACGGGTCACGGGCTTACTCGGGCTGGGCTTAAAAGCCTCGTTTTTAAACGGGCTCCAAAAATTCTAGCCCAGCCCTGTTAAATCACGGACTGGGCTGGGCTGGGCTGGCCCAACGGACCAAGCCCATATTGACGGCTCTACTTCTCAATAATTACACTTGACCTTTATGTAGGTATCGAATGTCAATACAATTTGAAATTATAGTTCGAATATCTATATCTATATTATATTAAAAACACGAACGCTCTTAGCGAAATATCGTTCGTCTTTTTTGCTCCTTTAATATAGTGTTCACATTGGACAAATTAGTCATTTAATTATCTTCCTATATATAGTATATTAATCATTCAATTTACTTTTTTTATATTTAGAAATACTCATTTAATTATTTTCCTATTTAGGACCTTGATTTAGAAAAGTGAAAAACACATTCCTAAAATACTTACCATAAATAAATGAGAAAAGTACGTTTTAGAGAAGGAACTAAAATGTCTTCAATTCCTAAAATCTTAAGTTAATTAAAATATATATATATTTCAAGAAGGAATCAATATATTTTACATTCTAATATTTCCTAATATAAATAGAAAAGGACAATACATTAAAAGGAAACTCTTAACTACTTTTGTTATAAGAATTTTTTCGGCAACTTTGTCAAACAAAAGCGTAGAATCCATTATTCTTTTTTTTTGAACTTTTCTATTTTCATGTTAAACTTTGAAATGTTATACTTTTACTTTGACCTATATATATAATTATGTAATCCATAAATACAATAATTTAGGAAGGGATTAGGTGGAATGAGTTCTTTTAGAATGGTCCTACTTTCTCATGTGGTGCATAATTTAGAGTTAAATGAAAATCTTTGTGGTGAGAACAAACATAAGACTCAAAAAAAGGGATTATATTGGGAGTGTCCGGCTTCGAAGATTACTGAAATACATACCAGTTTACCTAGATTATAAGAGTGTATGGGGTGCATGCAGATAAAATTGTTCTTTATATATATATATATATATATATATATATATATGTTTTGTTATTGATTAACATGATAGACACGTGCAACGCACGTACACTAAAAACTAGTATACTAAAATGGCCTTATTAAGGGTTTATTTGGTATCAAGAACAATATTTTTCTTGAGAAAACATTTTCTTGGAAAGGTAACACGAGAAAGCATAACCCACCCAACCGACTTAAAAAGATTGGATGAAATATTTATAAATGATTCATTTTGACTCACCCAAAGCTTATAAAGTTTTGATTAATATGTAGTCCAAATTAATCATGAGAAACTTTATCAAAATATTTTTTTAAAGAAAACTTTTTTCTTTTTGGTTTGATATGTCATGTATAGCTATAATAAATAAAAAAGGTTTAGTTAATAAGTTGTGTAAAACCTTTTTCTTTTTTTTTTCTTACTTTCTTTGTTGTTTTCTGATGATTTATTTAATTATCAAATAAAATTAATAAAACTTGATAAGAGTTGGGACTTGGAAGGATTAGCGTATGACACATTATAAAGTACATCTTTGACAAAGCTCATATCAGCTCGAGTAACATTGCCGACCATGACTGATTATATAAACTACTCTCAATTTCGGACATACATAACTGAAACATTAGACATTGGAAATTTAAACTTCTTTAAACATACATGTCTGAAGTTGGTATGCAAGATTAACTTCAAAACATTTATTATGAAATTCACATTTATGACTTGTTTGAAGATAGGCATTGACACGCCTAACTTCACACTCGCATGTCTGAACTTTTTTGAAATTTCAAACATGTGAGTCTGAAGTTAATTTCGAAGCGGCCAAACTTATAAAGCTTATGAATTTCGGTTGTGCCTTAAATAGCAGTCCTCAACTTGGCTATTTGTGCACAGAATAAGATCTTTAGGTGAGTCACATATTGCGCATTCACCGCTTTCGAATTTTTGAAATTGGATTTATGCTTTATCGGCTTATTTCATATCATGGTTCAGGCGAAACCCCTTTTTACACTGGTGAAAAATCGGGACAAGTGCACAGATAGCCATTCTCAAGGATGCTATTTAAAGATTAGTTAGTACTTATTTTTTTCTGAAATTTTAAACTAAAAATCTTAACTTCAGGACAATTCAGGATATTTTTGTCCTGAAAAACTGAAATTCAGAACACACTGACTAATTCCTAAATAGCAACCCTCCAGAGTGGCTATCTGGTGTCATTTCTACTAAAAAAAAAAATCCACTCAAGCTCATTTCAAAAAAGGGAAAAGTTACATGATATACCCATTTGTAAAACTCACTTTCATGATATACCTAAGTTTTTAAATTACGTCAAATATTTCAAAAATATTATACACTATACCTCCATATAGTCTAAAACATATCACAATATTCTACTTTGGAATACAATTCAAAGGTAACTTACCATAGTATTCTAATTTGGGATACAATATTCTAACTAAACATATCATAACAGGATAATCTACATGGTATGTCCATTAAGAATACCAGTTAATACAATATGCAATTAAAATATTTATTTTACCCTGTATACCTACTTTATAAATTTATTTACTATGTAAAGTACTTTTTTCTCCAAAAGTACTTTTTTCCCGGAGCCTGTTTGGCAAGATTTTGGGAGGCCAAAAGTACTTTTTTCCCCAAAAAAGGTACTTGTTGCACCCTATTTTGCACTAGTCAAAACAAGATTCAACTTGTGGTTTCTCTGTTGTTGATAGAAGAGAGTCGCACATAATATATAAAGGTATACTAGGGTACCTATTTAATTACAAAGTCACATTCTTTATTAGTCTGATAACTGGTGAGATTATGGGTAAGGGTTCTTGTTCTTCTAAAGGGAAGGTGTTAGGCACCCCTTAAAATCTACCCGAGGTAGCTCTATAGGACTTAGACTAGATTTAAAATTATTATTTATACTATGACTTAACTAGTATTCTAAA